TATTTGACATAGTAGTCCTCCCATGTTATATATTGCAACGCAAGTTGCGTAGAAACGTCATACACGAAGAATGAAAATAAGTGTGGAGGCGTTTGGGCTGCCCACCCGACTAAACTTTGGCTCAGAGGATCGGTTACGGATTTCTATACGCCTCTAGGGATTTCTGAAGCCTGGTGTGAGAAATTACTTAGGGAAGAAGGCCTTTATGATTATGGCGAATTAACTCTCTTACCCTTAGGTAAAGCCCTATCTATTCGATCAACCCGTGGGGATGAGGGTGAGAAGAGTATCCGTAGTATCTTATAACGAATTTGGAGTAATACTGTAATCTTGCAAAAGGTCGGGGGCAGTTCCACAAGCAGGTACACGGCCTGTTGTGTGATAATCGTACCTCCAAACGCTTTCAAAATTATTTCTTGCTAATCTTCTTATGCCCTTAAAGGAACTCAGTCGAATGGCATTTTGATTTCTTTGAGCCACGTACAAGAAACCTGAAAATAGTAGTGTACAAGATTGAAAAAAAAAAAACAAAGAATAAAGCATGTAGGAACAAGGATGGATAAAAATCGAGAGTATTAACACGAATCAAGAACGACGAACTTAAAAAATTAAGGCTACATTTTCCAAGTCCTTCAAAACTAAAACATACAGAGATTAACAATTGCCAATCTCACCCCTGCACTTCAAACTTATCAATTTTTCAGTCCGTTCTTTTTTTGTTAATATCGTTGAAAATTATAAATTTTCCTTCCTTACAAGGAATCACTTTCCAAGGAACCAATAACATGTACCAAGGGCAGCCATGCCACAGAGGTCACCTGTACCCAGCTATGACTGCCTCAGGTAACCCGGCGAATGCCGCGAACAGCGTTCGTTCCACGTATCAGTACACAAATGCCGTGCCCCAGTGTGCTCCTTTTAACACCGGACTGTGGAGCAATTTTGAAGGGAGGATTCGAAACTATGCAGTGCAGACATGCATACCGGGGAACGGTGAATTGTTTCTTGTTACAGGGAGTTCATTCGCTGCTTTTCAAAACACTCCTCCACAACCAGTTCCAGCTCAGATTACCCTATTGGTTAATGGAGGCATACAGAGACCTAATTTATTGTGGACTGCGGGCACGTGTTTATACCCAGGTGGCCGGTGCACTTCCTTTGCCGTGATTGGAAACAACGTCCCTGCATCGCTTACACAGGAAATTACCCAAACATGGCTGAACTCTATTCTTCAGTTCGACGTCCAAAATAATGGCCTCAAACGGGCCATAACGAGGAGAGAGGTCAGGCTGTTTCCAGGAGCTACAAGTTGCTCAAATGTACAACTTCCCACTGAGGAGTATCCCCCTAAAGGAGAATCCAGCCCTCCGGGCTCGAAACACGGGTCTTCGAGCTCAACAAGCACCTCTAGCCCAAAACACCCGAGCTCAAAGCCACCGCGNCGTATCAGTACACAAATGCCGTGCCCCAGTGTGCTCCTTTTAACACCGGACTGTGGAGCAATTTTGAAGGAAGGATTCGAAACTATGCAGTGCAGACATGCATACCGGGGAACGGTGAATTGTTTCTTGTAACAGGGAGTTCATTCGCTGCTTTTCAAAACACTCCTCCACAACCAGTTCCAGCTCCGATTACCCAATTGGTTAATGGAGGCATAGATAGACCTAATTTATTGTGGACTGCGGGCACGTGTTTATACCCAGGTGGCCAGTGCGATTCCTTTGCCGTGATTGGAAACAACGTCCCTGCATCGCTTACACAGGAAATTACCCAAGCACAGCTGAACGTTATTCTTCAGTTTGACGTCCAAACTAATGGCCTCAAACGGTACAGAACGGGGGGAAGGGTCAAGCTGTTTCCAGGAGCAGCTAGAAGTTGCTCAAATGTACAACTTCCCAGTGAGGAGTATCCCCCTACAGGAAAATCCGGCAAAGACAAAAAGCGCCCCGGATCCTCGAGCTCTAAACCTCCGGGCTCGAGCTCTAAATATCCGAGCTCAGGACCAAGCTCAAAATACCCGAGTTCAAAACCAAGCTCGAAACAAAGACCTTCGAGCCCAACAAGCACCTCTAGCTCAAAATACCCCAGCTCACAATACCCCAGCTCAAAAACAAGCCCGAAACACAAACCTTCGAGCTCAAAAAGCACCTCTAGCTCAAAATACCCGAGCTCACAATACCCCAGCTCAAAAACAAGCCCGAAACAGAAACCTTCGAGCTCAAAAAGCACCCCTAGCTCAAAGTACCCTAGCCCAAAGCGACCGAGCTCAAAACCAAGCTCAAGATTCGGATAAACGTGGAAGCGGTACAGAATCATCATACCGTGGACTTGACGAAGAAACATATATGATATAATGATCCAAAAAGAAATAATGTTTGTAAACGATTAACTAAGTTATCAAAAATAAACTTCAAATCAGTAAAACGTCGTTGCTTATCGTTATGTAACCTCCGTTGGACAGTTCAACGCCCCTCTGAGCAGCCGCCCAGCAACCTTTCGGGTATAAGACATTTTGAGTTTTAGTTGATCAAATCCCATTCGAATCTCAGAGCAAAAAATAGCTTTTAAATACTCTACCATAGGATCATACTAAGTGATCAAATGACCACAGTCACAAGAAAGCGAGCGATGGAAAGTTGTTGATGAGAAAACGTTTAATGAGTCTTATATAAGAATGTGGTATAAATGGTAACATAAACAATGTCAAAATGTGGCTTAGATTTTTGGGATATAGTTATAGTCCACTGCTTTCATATCTACCCTGCTTGGCAGGCGTTCAAGAGGCAGAAAAAGGGAAAACGAAAGCTTAAAGCACGATCGGATAGGGACGGAGGTATGGGGCGCCTGGAAGGACGCTGTTTCTTAGTTGTTTTTAATTCCGCAGAAAAATGTAAATATCTTGATTGGTCAGTATTAACTAAGTACTTAATGGATTGCTTTTGATTGGTCCGTGATATGTCATTTTAGTACTTTAGCGTTCTCTCAGTTACATTCAGCATGATGGTGTGTACCCTTGAGGCGGACAGAAAATGTCGGAATTCTTTACCAGAGACAAGGCTTTTGTCAAAAAGACTTTTCCCAAATCCAGTAAGAAGCACTTATAAAACATTCTTTCAACTTAAAAGTGATTCAAGAGCTTCTTTTTCTGCAAAATTGAGATTTATCTCACCCAGCTTTACGTTGCACACCTGCGTTAAAAACTTATTGTAATCGGCCATTTTTCAACTGCAACTTTTTTCCCGTAAAAAAGCTCGCCGCTAAATACTCTGATAAACTTGTTAACAGATTGACAGGTATTCATCCAATCAGGTTTTATCGCTGTTCAGAAACAGGAATTTGAATCTGCTAGGATTGGCTCATTTCGATACAGACGTGAAAGGTTTCCACGTCCTGATCATAGTTAATAGAGGGGAATAGTTCTGAAACGCGACAAAGTTCTAAGTTGTATGTTTTTGTTCTCTTTTTTAGCGTTGATCGTTCACAAAACACAATAGTTGTTTACTACTGACCGAAGAATTAGCCAATAGAAACGTTTTGGCTACGTAACTCATTGTGCACGTGCGTGGACCTTCCAACATAAATCTTGGCATTTTTTTCTGCTAGTTCCTTTGATGTTCGCCGAACCTCATAACCATTCCCCTCTATTAATTATTTACTGATAGAAACTGCAATTGCCACTGCAAGAAATGAAGTCCTATTACTAGACAAGTTCGAATCTAATTATTAGCGTTCAGCTGTATGCTCAATTTCGTCTTTCCCCTTGAATTTCGAGACATTTTTTTTAGCTTCTTCGAAACTTAGAAAAATTTATGAGTAAATTGACATGAGATTCGTTGCCAGATTCTGCAAATTATATATTTTATAAGACCACCAACAAAGCCAGTTTTATGCTTTTAGACGCTTTGCAACCGGCGAAATATTTAATGGTTCCTAACTGACCGGAACATTATTTCGAATCAAACTAAATCATTTTTTATTATCATTATTTCAATCTCGATTTAGCCTTTCAGTTGCTAGCTTTTCAGGCAAAATATTTTTTTCTTTCACTTTTAATAGGGTGTTTTTACGGGGAGGGCCTGTTACAAGCCATGCGTGCTTGGGAAAAGTGAAGAGATGTACTGGCCTTTCAAAGTAGGTTATTTTAACAAAGCACGTGCTTGAAGTAGCTTCTCGATCGGAGAAAGCTGTAATAGCAATTTTGTCCAAGAGATGAAGTCTACAAGTCGTAGAATAAGTCTTTATTAACTACTCCACTCGGAAGAGTGTAGATATTTATGACGTTTCAAAACGAACTAGCAGGGTATTTTAACAAAACATTAGCAATTGAAGTGGCTGCTCGCCGGCGAAAGTGACAATAGCCTTTTTTTTTTTTTT